TGTTTTCTGCTGCCCAATATCCTTCATTATGCCGCTGTCAGAAAAAAACAAAAAAAAAAAAAACGCGGCTGTAATGAATTGTTGAGGAAGGCTGAGGGGCGGGGGGGGGGGGGGGGGGGGGGGGGGGTCAATGTTTTGTCCACTTGTTGTTCCCCTTCGTGAGTCACACCGAGGCAATAGATGAGCTCACATGCGGAGTGCCATGAAGTCTCAACAGGATGGATGACTTTGTCATACGCTCTCCGTCATCTTTAATGCCAACTAGCGCGTTGCCCTTTTTATTTTGATGGCTATTGTGTGTTCATCCGATGGTGACTAAATGTGTTCAAATGAGCTGGAGGGAGGCCTGAAGAAGAAAAAAAATAATAATGGGCTGCTGAGGCTCGTCATGACCCAACAGCTCTCCGGCCCCCGCGGGCCAACATTGTGCTCCCTCAAGGTGCCGTTCTTATGCCGTTCTATACATAAGCTCGTCTATTTTTGTCGTGTTGTATCTCATGAGGTAACAGCATACCACTCTGTCACCTTCCGCACATCTGGTAGTTGGTCAACTGCCACCATTGAACGTGACTTATCCGAATAAATGATTTGATGATTTTATTTTTCAAGGATTTTGATGAATAGATCACAGAGAATTTTTTTGTGTAACTTTTTTGTTGGGATCGCAGTGGCAAGTAGTCACTTAATGATAACCGATGTGATAATTTATTGGCTCAGGCTCGGGATTACGGACCCAGTCGCATCTGCGTAAACACCGTGTGTTCCATGTGCACTAATTGAAATCAAATGTAGTGGCACAGCAATGACATCTCAATTGAGGCAAGCTTAATGCCCCAGAGAAGGAAAGTAGGTGAAGAATTCAGCAAGAGGCAGCCCCTCCAGCCTTTTGTTTATGCCGCTGTGACTGACACCCGCATGTGTCGGGCCTCCAGCCGGCTGGCGATAAAGCCGCCGGCCTCGCACCAGTAAGGGAAACTTGGACGCGGAGGCGGATGGGTAAAGTAGCCTTCAGGACTCGACACCACCGGTTATATGAAAGTGGACTTGGCGCCCAACACGTGAATCAAGGAGGGCAGCCGCGGTTGACTGCTGCCCGACTCCCAATTGGAACATTCAACGGCTCTCCGTTATTTCACAAAACATTTATTGACATGAGTGACACATATAATTATTCAAATGGGAGCTTTTAGCTTCACACTAGTGTTATTAGCATTCCATTTAATCAGTCACCAATATAAAGTTTGATGGATGTACGTATTTATAAAATGTCATAGTGTGTCAGTTTTCAATTTATTTATTTTTTTGTAATGACCCAAAAACTGTGCGGACCGCGTCAGGAACTTGCAATCTGATCATTCAATCAGCAACACTCGAAAGGTTGTACTTCAGGAAATGAGGACACCCAAGGCAGCCCTTGAACCTCACGCAGAAGAGAGTAAGAAGAATATCCGACATGCACTCCATGATCAGCACCATCATTGTCATCGGTGAGTTGAATGCCATCCGTATTTCAAAATTTCAAAACTTATGATGAATTACTTTGAGTAAAATCTGGTCGGGATAGTTCCCAGTCCAAGGGAAAAAAAATTCAGTGCATGTACCGGTAGTCTTTTTTTTTTCAGTAATATGACTTTGAGAAGATTGTTGTAAAATTCGATCTTTTTATGCTGAAATTATTTAAATTATTTTTTTTATTCCCTTAAAATGATATTTTCATCGGAATATTTCACCGATTTTCACATATTTTCTTGCCTCAGTGCCTTCACTTTCATCACGTTTTGACTCATTTACCCCATCGGATGATCTTACTCAACTTATTGATTCAGTCATTTCACAATATGTTCGTTATTGTGGTTGCAGGGGTGTCGAATTGATAAATTGATGTAAGTGGGTGTCGGGTCAGACGCAGTAATTCGGAGGGCTCTGGCACTTGCGACAACCGCCACATGTCACGCCGCATCTAAAATAAGCACGTGAACGCTTGCTGACCCCTTTGAGTGCGTCCTCGTGTTCATGCCCCTGCACCCGACAAATCCATCCATGCTACTTTTTCGTACGTTTTTTGAATGTAGTGCTGAATCTTGACACGGAAACAATCCTAATCGAGTCTAAGCGCAACTCCGTGCCCTTCGTGTCCTTCCTGTCTGCGTTGCACGGCCTGTTGTGTGACCTGATTATGATTTGTGGCAGAGATGCTGCTGACGAATGTGGTTGGAGGCGGAGGAGGAGGAAGAGGAGGAGGCGAGGACGCCAAAGAGAAACTGGGTCAGTTATATTAACGTCTTGATTGCAAGGAATCTTTTTTTTCTCCCCTTTGCTTTATTCTGCATAAAAAAGGAAAACAAAAGTTTTCAAAAACACACAGATGACATCGCTGGTGCAATTTGTAGGCGTCACTGTGCATTCTGTTTGTTTGATGTTGCCCACTGGTTGATTTTCCTTTCAGAGATGGAATATATTTTGATCGGATGTGGCCTTGGCCTGTTTTTGACTCTCTTCATTATCGTCATCAAGTACTGCATCATCCGAAAACACATCCAAGAGAAAAGGTGAGCTTGTGACAATTAAAAATCGTATGCCTGTTTTTTTTTTTTTTTTTTCTCCCGTATGTGTTCATTTCACAATTTTAGCGCCTTATAACATTCTGGTAACTTTACATACCAGATATATTTATTTATTTTTTAATTTGGGTGGGAGGGGCGTGGATGCATTTTACATTTATCGTAATGGGATAAGTCTCTTTTTTTTTTAATTTACGTCTAGCACTTTTCAAAATAATAGGACCATTTTATGAAAACAAAAACATAGTACAATACACATTGTCATGGTACGCTGATTATAATCCTTTACATTTGTGTTTTTGTACCAATTAGTGTGACGTTGTAATCTTCACATGGCACGACAATGGATGCTCACTTACCTCCATACTTTCTTTTTCTGCTTTTTTTGCGGCCTGTCATTTGCTCACGTGATACAACACGGCTTCACGACTCAATGTGTCGACATGCTGTCCTCCCTGATCACTCCTGCATGATTTTTTTTCTCAATTCTTTCTCCATAGGTCTGAAGACCACGCTGCTTTTATTCGGATGGGAGAAGCTGGATCACTTGAAAAGGGCATCAAAATGAACCAGCAACTGAAGAGCCCCTAGATACACATGTATATGTGTCTCGCTGTCCCGCTGCTCTACTGACACACATACTGCAGCCTCATTATTTAGGGAGCACATGGCCCCAGCACGAAAAAAAAAAAGTTGTCTGCCACAAGAGGCCAGCATTCCACATGGAAAACTTTTACAAGACTGCTTAGCATTGATGGTTGTTGTGTGAGTTTTGTTGAACACATTTCACACCAGTGAAGACTTTGACTCTCCATTTAGAAATATTTATGCCCTGGCCTCACTTATTTTTCCCCCTCATCCGACATCAGCAGGCAATAAACCGTTACAAAGATTATAGGGATGAATCAGAGAAAGTTTATCATCCAGCGTGATTGTTATTTTTTTGACAGCAATCGTGCAGAGAAATTACCAGTCATGACTGTTTCTCGTTCAATACTATGTGAAAATGCGTCCAGTCGTTTTACGACGAGGAAGGAATTACACTGAGGTGAGTTGAGGAGCTTCATTGAGACAAAAGTAGCGCTTTGTTATGATCTCGTGGCATTTGGGTGCCAAAGAATTATGTTGGAATGAGCTGAGGAGCCTCGTTTGAACAAAAATAGTGCGTTGTCACTATCTTTGGGGGGGGGGGGGGGGTTGAATGATGTCTTAGGTTCCCCAACAGGTGTTTTTTTGTTTTTGTTTTGTTTTTTTTAATCTGTCAAATATGTTTCAGGGCACACAAAGTCTTGTCTGTGTCTTATCAATAAGGACTATGATCAATCGGCAACACTATGTGTGATCCTCTGCAAGTGTTTTACATTTTCAAATGATAATTTCTTCAATATTCCCAGCAAATGACCATGTGCCATCACCATTTTTTATTTTTTATTTTTTTTACAGTCCCGCAGGCTACTCATGTGGGCCCTGGGTCACCCTGGTGCCCATCAGCCAATTTATTTCGCGGCCTCACCAAGGGCCACACACAAGCACAGACTAATTCACCCATTGCCGCCCCCTCCCTTGTCCAAAATAAAAGCCCTTGAGTGAGGTCCGACCGCTCTCCACAGCTGGAAGTGTGATTTTCTCGGCGTCGGACTCCACCGCACGCAGGAACTCACGTTTCCCGCTCGTTTGCCAGATGCAAAGAATGCATGTGGGTGTGTGTGGGTGCGCGTGTGCGCGCTCACCTTCCGCTAGTGTGTGTGCCAGTGTGTGCGTGCGGTGCGGCCAAACGTTCCCTCAATGTCTTCGAGACAGTACGGGGGAGGGCTTGGGGAGGTTCTGAGCAGAGTGTAGTGTTTCATATTACACTTCTCTATATGGGGGGAGAGGAGGAAAAGGAGGCGGAGGAAGCATTTGGGCAACTTTTCCTCTGAATCATTCAAGTGAAGGTTTATGGAGGTTGCAGTTGTGGAAAATGCTCTCTTCTGTGTTCTTAGCTCTCCTGGTTCAAGCGCTGTTTGGAGGTAGGAAAGATGCACAAATGTTAAGACATTTCGGAAGGGATGCTGCAAAGGCTGAGCACATCGGATAAATGGGAGAAGAGAGATTCATTTAAACAGTTGATCAACGAATTTATGTTGATTGTTGATTGTTGTTTTTTTTTTTGTGGGTGGTAGGGCAAAACGATATGTTGCAGCTGTTTGTAGAAGGGCAAAGCGATGGGCTCTGGTTTTGCTTTTCCTGTAAGTGTTTAAATGAAAGTCCTTGTAATGTGGTGCAGATCAACGACTGCAAACACAATAACTGCAATAATGACTTGTTGTTTACTTAATTCATTGTGCTCTGACAGCATCAAAACTTTGACTTGAGTGAATGTGACAAGTTTTGAATTGGATCTGATCTTGACATTGTAGCGGCTCGGAATAGATGTTAACACTTGACGTATTCACAAATTTGCTTCTTGGCAGATGTGATAGGAACAGAACCTCTGTTCCGATCAAAAAACTCACCAGCAGTATTGTTTTGGCGCCATCTAGTGGCATCTAGGTTCTGACCAACCATTTAGAAGTGAGTTGAGGAGCTTCATTTAGACATAAGTATTTTGCCACCACTTTGTGGCATCTTTCGGAAATTACAAACATCACAGAAAATGAAGGCAAAAACGGCTTTCTCTTCAAAAAAAAAAAACAAACAAAAAAAAAATGGCATTTTACTTGTTTAAACTTTGCATTCGACAGATTTGTGTTCCGCCATCAACGTTACAATCACCCCGTCGCCCTTCACGGTGGCCCAGGAAGGCCAAAACGTCACACTCTCTTGCGTGGTGTCCCAGCGCCGTCGCAATGCCGCGCTGCCCGTTGTGAAATGGACCTTCCTGCCGGCGGGCTCCGACAGGCCGGAGGACGAACACCTCATCGCCCGGGTCAACATGAGAAAGGCCCGTTTCTACGGAAATTACACCAAGAGCTTCTCGTGGCCCAAGATGAAGCTGACGGTGGTGAAGCAGGGCAAGATCTTCGATTTGGTGATCTTGAACGTGTCCGAAGGGGACAGAGGTCGCTACATCTGTCGGGTTCAGGAATTCAAAAAGCAGCAGGATCGCTGGAAGGCCTCGTCCAACTCGACGGCTACAACTGAACTGAGAGGTGAGCAGCAACGCCGTTTTATTCCCCCCTCTTTGTTCCCAAGATTAAGAATATATTGAAATGTCCAAAATTGGCCGAGAACCTTTCTATCACGCTAACTTGCATTTTCACGAGAACCCGGTGTAGCGGTTGTCGTTTCTTGCGACCTCACTGCACACCGATGACCTCACTAAGCTGGGCGGAGACTTCAACAGTTATTTCAGTCGCCGCAACAGAAGCGGTGTCAAACCTTGCCGTGATAGAAGTGAAACCGCATTTTTACGCAGGTTGCTCCGCAGGGATGGTCGACGGCGCCGCAGATGTTGCTCAAGAGCTCCCAGATGTGATGAAGCTGTTTGAGGTTTTACAATGGGACGTTTCTGTGCGGTGTAAAATCTGGTCCCATTAGCGAAAAGTGCTAACGATGACTTTGACCGTGTGCCATGCGCGGTCTTTACCAATACTGCAAAACATCTGAAAATCATTCAAACGAGACAGTAGGTTACACAAATTTATGTCGGTCCTCAGCCGGCAGAACAAGAATCTTGGAGTCTCCTACAAGCAAAAAAGCATTTTCCTGCTTTCCAGTCGGAGGGAGAAATGTCACTGGTTGCGATCCAGCCTGCATCTAAAAGGATCATCCGCGGCGGTAAGCTGCGGCTTTGACTGAGGAGATCAACTTGAAGTGGAGACCAGAGGCAGTGTGAGGTTTTCGTGCGGCTTTGACTGACTCACTGAGCGGAGCGGATGACACGTGTGGCATAGGAGCCTTTTTCACTTTTATTAAAAAGAAAAAAAAAAGTGGCGCTCGCTTTTATCCCAACCTCTGTTCAACAGCCCGTTACTACGTGGCACATGCCGAACAGAAATGGTTTAAAATTGAAGGATAAAATAGCATTAACCCTTTCAGGGACAGCGGTTACTACAGTGGACCTCGATTCTGGATGCTCTCAGCATTCAAACAAAGAATTGTGGTGTTGCGAAGTTAAACGGTGCAGCAAATGAACCCAGACGACATTGGCTGGATATGAAAGAAAAGCTGTTTTGGTTAGTCCTGTCCTTTCATTTGGCTTTGTCTGCTCATTAGCTGAGCGCCGACAAAAAACTGTCACTTTTTTTTCCCCCCCTTTCGTACTTCCTGCCTTCAAAAACACTACATGGTAGTCACCACATTTTTCCATGGATGCGTGATCCTATGGGCTGTGACTTTCGGGTGACCGTGTCCCGGGCCAAGTCTGGGTTGGGCCGACACGCGGACCTGAACGCGAGTTGTTTACGTTGGCCACGTCAAAGAGTTTCCTCCCAATGTAGGACACAGAGAGCAGACAGACTTGGTAAAAATGGGACAATAGAATGTTGTAGGAAGGGGGAAGCCACTCCGCATGAGTACGAGCGGTGAATTGCCCAATCGTGTTGCTGCGTTTTTATTTCTTTTCCCATACGCATTTTCTACTTCATGCAGAGCAGTATTTCTGATGGAAAAATTTAACCCTTTGAGGGACAGCGGTGACTACAGTGGACATGTTATCAGGTCACAGGGTGCATGAAAGGGTCCAAAATGTTAACTTAATATTTTTCTTGTAAGATGTTCTCGCACAATCGCATGATGGTGAATCAACACAAATGTGTGATTTGATTGAAGATTGTATTTTTTTTTTCTGTCTAGGGGGCAGTCTGCTTGGCAGCGCACAGGCACGCATGTACATGTACCGAAACTACTCAGGATGACCAAGTACAGGAGTTTAATGTGTTTTGGAGTGTTGACGGCGGCCTCATGGAATCCCTGTGGCCCAATGACATCAGGTGGCCAGGTGTTTCCTCAGTCCGTCTCTCACACGAGACCTGCTAGCACTAACAATAATAAACACATCTCTGGTCGTAAAACAGAGCCGAGACTGCGCTCGCTCGGTATAAACAAACTGAGATTGTGGAGTTTTTCTCGGTAAATGGGAGTCGCGACTTAGCGGCTTAGCTAGGGCGGTTTCTGGAAAGCTCTGGGTACTCTTGTCATCATTCCAAAAGACATGTTATAGAGCGATGACATGTACCCGTATGCAGACATGTGCAAATTGAATACTGGATAACTGTGAGACCAATTTATTGGAACACAAGAAAACAGCGGTTGAATGGGTGAGTGATGAATGCACAGATTCATCATTCACTGCAGTCCGCATCTGGTGTTGGGTTTGTTGGGGCACCAAAAAGAGCCAAGACACTGCCCTCAATGCAACTCTGTTCCTCCGATGGTTGACTCATTCATTCTGGGCTACTGTAGTCCTTTTAAAGCGCTTTAAAATAGAGGGTGCATTCTATATGGGCATTGGAGGAGTTTTTTGCAGCTTCATCGCAGGCTTGTGATTGATTTGACGATGGCTTCAGGTTGGGCAGCTTCACACTCAACTCCAAAATAAGTCACATCACGGCAATTATGGCGATTTTGCGATGTCCTTAAATTGTATTCTGTGCAAAATGCTATGACGTAGACTTGAAACTCGTGTTATCTTTTGAATGATGATCAAGTCCTATTATTGAAAATGTCGTTTTCAATATTTTGACGATCTTCCGCATTTCATTCCAGCGAAATGTCGCTGTCGCTGTTTTCATTGACACTTACAAAGCCGTCTGTACTCGTCCCGTGGAATTCGACGAAAATGTTCTGCGCGATATTGCCGCGCGGAAATGGCATGATGCCCATTGAAATGTTGAATTCGGGATTTTCACCGGAGCGATCGTCACTCTGCAGGCTGCTTGCGTCGCTGCCGCTTTCTTCCGTTGATGCCTTGCTGTCGTCGTTGTCGGGATCGTTGTCGTTTTCAGCGTTGGCGTCAATGTTGTTGTTTTCAATATTGGCCTCATTGTTACCGTCTTCAACACTGGCATCGCTGTTATTGCGTTCAACGCTGACTTCACTGTCATTGTGTTCGTTATTAGCATCGTTGTCCTCGATGCTGGCGACGGCGTCTTCATTATTCTCGTTGTGGTCTTCATGATTGGCATCGTTGTCGTCAATATTGGCGTCGCTGTCATTGTTTTCAATATTGCCATCGTTGTCTTCACTGCTAGGACGATGTTCGCCCTCTTCACTATTCCCGTCACTTTCTTCAACGTTAGCCTCGCTGTCATTGTTTTCAACTTCACCGTCATTGTCTTCACTACTAGGATTAGGGTCGATGTCTTCACTATTCCCGTCACTTTCTTCTGTATTGGCATCGTTGGCGTTGTTTTCGTTGTCTGCGTCTCCAGCTGGCCTCGGCACCACCTGAAAGGAAATAGTGATCTCCTGGTTGGAGACGCAAACATTGACTCTGAGGGCTCCCACGTTTGGTGCGCCTCGTCCTAATCTTCGTCGGAAACGGCGGCCTGGAACGTAGTTGAAGCACGAGATGGTCATATTGCGAACACGTGACAGTTCCAGCTCAAAAAGTTGTTGGGAAGCAGTGAAAGAAATACTTACGAATTGGACCGTTGTGTTGGCCGTCGCCTTGTACTTCCATTTTTGTCTGAAAACAATCAATGAATTAGTTCTAGTGGGAGTGAACTAGGTTGGGGTTAACAGTGTGGAACCTTTAGAGTCCATTAAGAGGCACTGGTTCACCTCTAACCAACTCGTTCAGTCGGTAAATGCATACTGTAGGTTAGGCTCCACAACCTTTTGAACCCTTTTCATGCACCCTGTGACCCAATAACACGATAAGCTGTCCACTGTAGTAACCGCTGTCCCTGAAAGGGTGCATCAAATGCACACTCTTTCTGTCCACGGTGAGGGAACATGAACCCAATCTAATTAGCTGTTAAAGGAATGGATAACATGGAGCGGCTAGCGACTCGTGTCAGACCAGCGACATCTTTATGGAGCTCTGTGGGGATACACAAGCCAGCTGAAAACATACAGAAACCTTCAATCATGTAAACTGAAGCTTGCCCTTCCCCCCCACACCAAAGCCATGCATATAATGACATCAGAGACTGACATCACCTTCCAACATGGCGTTGCGTGGCCACTACTCAACAACAGCTGTCTTTAACCCTTTCAAGGAGAGCGGTTACTACAGTGGACAGTTTATCAGGTTACAGGTTATCATTATTGGTGCATGAAATGGGCAAAAGGAGTTGTAGTTTGTATCGCCTTACCTTGGGTTCAAGGAACTGGTCGATAAAAGGCCTGTTTCCAAAACATTTGGTGGTGAAATGTGTATTTCGCATGTAGCTCCATGATGCTTTCACAGAAACGTGCCCAGTTTTGAGATCACAGTGTAAGTATTGTCACTTGTGGCATTATGGTGACAGTTGTCGTGACCAGGCGGGTCCACAACAGCGGACACTGTGCCGTGCCGTCGCGGCGGTAAGTTGTAGCTTTAATGCAACTCTATGGCATCGTTCGCTATTTGTTTGTAAGGCTTCATGAGATCATCGCTTATGATCGTATCATTGTGATGAGATGGGCATTGTGGAAATGATGTCACTTTGAAAGTATATCCTACAGCACTGTCATACGCGGCGGGTGGGGGTCAAGGCCGTCCTTGTTGTGGACCCAAAAAAAAAAAAAAAAAAAAAAAGAAACCCTCAGTAACCTCAAACTACATGGAGAATTTAAATTCCTAACAGTCTGTTGTTTTTTATTTTGTAGTGTTTCTCTTCCAGTATGCCGCGCGGAAATGGCATGATGCCCATTGAAATGTTGAATTCGGGATTTTCACCGGAGCGATCGTCACTCTGCAGGCTGCTTGCGTCGCTGCCGCTTTCTTCCGTTGATGCCTTGCTGTCGTCGTTGTCGGGATCGTTGTCGTTTTCAGCGTTGGCGTCAATGTTGTTGTTTTCAATATTGGCCTCATTGTTACCGTCTTCAACACTGGCATCGCTGTTATTGCGTTCAACGCTGACTTCACTGTCATTGTGTTCGTTATTAGCATCGTTGTCCTCGATGCTGGCGACGGCGTCTTCATTATTCTCGTTGTGGTCTTCATGATTGGCATCGTTGTCGTCAATATTGGCGTCGCTGTCATTGTTTTCAATATTGCCATCGTTGTCTTCACTGCTAGGACGATGTTCGCCCTCTTCACTATTCCCGTCACTTTCTTCAACGTTAGCCTCGCTGTCATTGTTTTCAACTTCACCGTCATTGTCTTCACTACTAGGATTAGGGTCGATGTCTTCACTATTCCCGTCACTTTCTTCTGTATTGGCATCGTTGGCGTTGTTTTCGTTGTCTGCGTCTCCAGCTGGCCTCGGCACCACCTGAAAGGAAATAGTGATCTCCTGGTTGGAGACGCAAACATTGACTCTGAGGGCTCCCACGTTTGGTGCGCCTCGTCCTAATCTTCGTCGGAAACGGCGGCCTGGAACGTAGTTGAAGCACGAGATGGTCATATTGCGAACACGTGACAGTTCCAGCTCAAAAAGTTGTTGGGAAGCAGTGAAAGAAATACTTACGAATTGGACCGTTGTGTTGGCCGTCGCCTTGTACTTCCATTTTTGTCTGAAAACAATCAATGAATTAGTTCTAGTGGGAGTGAACTAGGTTGGGGTTAACAGTGTGGAACCTTTAGAGTCCATTAAGAGGCACTGGTTCACCTCTAACCAACTCGTTCAGTCGGTAAATGCATACTGTAGGTTAGGCTCCACAACCTTTTGAACCCTTTTCATGCACCCTGTGACCCAATAACACGATAAGCTGTCCACTGTAGTAACCGCTGTCCCTGAAAGGGTGCATCAAATGCACACTCTTTCTGTCCACGGTGAGGGAACATGAACCCAATCTAATTAGCTGTTAAAGGAATGGATAACATGGAGCGGCTAATTACCACTTGGTTAAAAGCTCCAGGAATAGGTAAGCTGTTGAGCCACGGAGGTGTGCATCATTCCGTTCGGCCCGATTTGGTCCACCTGGAACTATGGTTATTTTTCTGTTTTGTTACCTTCCAACATGGCGTTGCGTGGCCACTACTCAACAACAGCTGTCTTTAACCCTTTCAAGGAGAGCGGTTACTACAGTGGACAGTTTATCAGGTTACAGGTTATCATTATTGGTGCATGAAATGGGCAAAAGGAGTTGTAGTTTGTATCGCCTTACCTTGGGTTCAAGGAACTGGTCGATAAAAGGCCTGTTTCCAAAACATTTGGTGGTGAAATGTGTATTTCGCATGTAGCTCCATGATGCTTTCACAGAAACGTGCCCAGTTTTGAGATCACAGTGTAAGTATTGTCACTTGTGGCATTATGGTGACAGTTGTCGTGACCAGGCGGGTCCACAACAGCGGACACTGTGCCGTGCCGTCGCGGCGGTAAGTTGTAGCTTTAATGCAACTCTATGGCATCGTTCGCTATTTGTTTGTAAGGCTTCATGAGATCATCGCTTATGATCGTATCATTGTGATGAGATGGGCATTGTGGAAATGATGTCACTTTGAAAGTATATCCTACAGCACTGTCATACGCGGCGGGTGGGGGTCAAGGCCGGCAAGGCCTTATCTGCTGGCCTAAAAAAAAAAAAAAAAAAGAAAGAAACCCTCAGTAACCTCAAACTACATGGATAATTTAAATTCCTAACAGTCTGTTGTTTTTTAATTTGTCGTGTTTCTCTTCCAGTACATGATTGTTGATGAGATGGGCCCAATCGAAAAAAAAAAAAAAAAAAAAAAAAAAAGAAACCCTCAGTAACCTCAAACTACATGGAGAATTTAAATTCCTAACAGTCTGTTGTTTTTTATTTTGTAGTGTTTCTCTTCCAGTACATGATTGTTGATGAGATGGGCACAATCGAATAATTGTTTCAGCCATGTCAATGTCATCTTCCCAGGGGCCTTCAGAATAACCAATTATGATCGATGTCACTTGACTGGGACTGTTTCTTCAGATTTTCTAATTTGCCTCAAAAAGTCAACCAGCCGGCTGACAATCAGGTCAAAGTGGAAGAAAATGCACAGCCCACCACTGGTGCTCTGCCACAATTAACCTCAAAATGTCGGAACAACATATTTTGTACATTTTCTAAAACCGGTAAGAGGAAAGTGTTACATTTCATGTCTTCTTTAAATGATACTGGACAATAGATTGATCTTTAAATACTTTTGATTTTAACCTTGGACATATTTTGGGTGTCCTTTTTAGCTGCACAAAAGGGACTAGGAAGATCAGAAATAGCTTTTTAGGATGACACATTGTTGCTACAGTGCATCCACAGAAAACCGATGCCCAAAAAAAAAAATCCTCCCAGACTGTTTTATTTGTCTTTTTAAAATTCGATTTCTGTAACAGCGGCTATGTGAAGGGGTCCCCGATAAAGTTTCAGATGACTATTTTCCAGGTTATCTGGGACATTTTTAAATTCTTCCAACTCAACATTTCTCTGGTGAAAATGCCGCAAAGAACCACTGTCGATGAACGGTCTGCACTTGTCAAATATACACCTTTTTCCTGTGTCACACCAGTCTCATATTAAGATGAAACCACAAGTAGCCCGTGGTGCTAAATGTCGTTTTTATTTGAACAGTCAATTTAGTCTGGCAGCAAAGGAAGCCGCAGTGATGACTAGAGACTTTACATGACATGTTCTTTTCTCACTCTGTGCGTTTTCCCTTCCATGTAGTGCACGTGTTTCCGGCCACCGAGGCCAAAGACAGCCTGTGGAGCTTGTTTGAAGGTAAGATATTGTATTTGTAAAGTGTGCGCGCATGTGTGTGTCAAAAATAGCCCAACCAAAAGGATGAACTTTTTCCTAAAATAAAGCACAGCCACATCCCTTTTTTTTTTTAACTTCCCCCTTTTTTTTTTTTTTTATGTTTGTGTTTCAGATGTGTACCTTTGTGCTGTACTGATTTGCTCCGTGGGCCTGCTGTGCATGTGCATGTTCACAGTGACTGTAACCTGCCAGTGTATACAGAGGAAGCAGCGGTTAAAAGGTCAGCAGACAAAGAAGGCACCTCTCGCGATGGACCTTTGACCTCTCGAGCGAGCCTTCCGTTTCTGTTATTTTAACTCTGATGCTCACCAGCATGTTCACAGTGACTGTAACCTGCCAGTGTATACAGAGGAAGCAGCGGTTAAAAGGTCAGCAGACAAAGAAGGCACCTCTCACGATGGACCTTTGACCTCTCGAGCGAGCCTTCGGTTTTTGTTATTTTAACTCTGATGCTCACCAGATCAACTCGTTTGACCTGGCTTTTTTTTTTTCTGTCTCTTCGCTGTTTTGTTGTAGATAATTACCACTTGGTTAAAAGCTCCAGAAATAGGTAAGCTACTGAGCCACGGAGGTGTGCATCATTCCGTTCGGCCCGATTTTTGTCCACCTAGAACTATGGTTATTTTTCTGTTTTGTTTTTTTCACTGTAGCTCAGGAGAAACCGTCACCAGTGTGGTCAGCGTGTCTCCTGCCTTGCCTAAGAAGGAGAGGAGATACAGAAAGAAAAGGAGCAGAGATTACCAAGAAGAAATACCACCAGAGATACCAGCAAAAGGTATCAAATTCCATTTGTTCCGGCCCCTTTTACGAGACTACCGAATCGAAGTAGAAATCACACATATGAGCGCGCAAAAAGACGTTTGTACTTGGTTTCGGTTGTTCCGCTTTGCTGAGCAAACGTTCTGCATTTTCAAGTATAAATGGGGAGTCATGTTGTTTGTGAAAGCTTAACATTCTCAATCCAAGCCGACCACATCTTGGTCTGCTCTTGGTAATTCGCCGCTGGAATGCAAATTCTATCAGATCCAATCCCGTGTTGCTCTTTCACCACATTTCGGAACGGTGTTAACAACAGCAAATATGACATATGATGGCACATGACTCTGCATTTCTTCATAAAATTCCGGCCTTTGTTTTTTTTCAGACCAGAGAATGCTGATTGTTGCTCTTTTTCGAAGCCACAGCTTATTGTTCTGTTTACGCCGCAGAGAATGCTGATTGTTGCTCTTTTTCGAAGCCACGGCTTATTGTTCTGTTTACGCCAGTACTGTTTGAAACACACAACATAAAAAAAAAAAAACCAACCACCACCAACCTTTATTTCACCCCTGCAGTTCCCATCGGAGACAAAGCACGCAAACCCAAACTTTCAAAACCACAACCAAGGAAAGTAGTTTTGGTGAGTACAAATCCCATTTCCAACAATGATCTCTTCTGCTGAGCTTCACAGTTTTCTTATTGATGCCAAATGACTGCAAAAACCCTGCAGTAATCGCTTCCATTTGCTTTCGGTCGCCATGGCGCTGTATACGAAGCCAAATACACGGCAAAAAGGATCACATCCAGCTTGCGATTTCGCCGTGATGTCTCATATCAGACAAGCCAAAATTCTGAAATAACCGTCAGTAATATTCCCATTATTGTACACTGTATGTCACTCCATTTTTCATATTTTACGTTTTGCGTGCTTGCTCTGATAAACTGAGATGTTACGTGACATTGATATCGCAGGGTATCATTTTTCTCCCAGTCTTTTAATGTTAATGCTCTCCCTGTAATTGTGATAGGCTTGATATCGTTGGCAAAATAGCACAAATGTTGTCATATCCTCAGTGACTATGCTTATTCGTGTACCACTGTTTCCTTCTCCGCCCCTTGTCTCCTTCCAATCTCCTCCTCCATTTTAATACCTCGCCTTACTCGGCCTTGACCTCCTCAGCCGAGGATAGTGGAGGAGAATCTGACCTACGCAGAGCTGGATCTGGTGAAGCCGATCCCGGAAGCGAAGGCGTCGCGGAATGGCACGGTGTACGCTCAGATACTTTTTGGGGAACAGCAGCTGTGAAAAGAAACTCTTCTAATATTTGCCCTTTTGTAAATGTTTTTTTTTTCTATTTATCGTTTGTTTTTTTGTATTTTAATGGCAAAATGCTGTCCATCTGAAATGACTGTACATATAATTTTATACAAACTTTGATTTCACTTTTTAACGAGGCCTTCAAAGGCAACGGCGGTCAGGTTTACATTGGGATGAGGCAGCATGTTGACTACTTGTTCCGACAGTGCGTCATTTGCCCATTGTGATGATCACATCTTCATATTTGGGGCTTTTTGTGATCTGCTTTTCTCATCTAATGGCTCTTTCACATTCCAATTGATCGTACCAAACTCTTGTCAAGACAAGACACACGAAACGCAAACATGAATGCGACCTGATGTCATTCCTGTGATTTGCTCCCAGTGTGTCCCCAGCCTTATCTCGCCACGCAACATCTGTGCACCGTCTGTTCCCGTGTGTCACTCTGCAATTTACACTCACCACAACACAAGACGAGTTTGATTTTAAAGTAGCGATTAGCCCTTAGACTGCAACTCTCGCACTGTAAAGTTTGCCAGAGGCTTTCACGTGCGTTTTAACAGCCAATTTAACCAGCGACACACACACACACACACACACACACACACACACACACACACACACACACACGGACAAAGCACATCAATCCAGGCCTGCAGTCACGTCTGCAGCAAAAGACTTGCCAACAAATGGCAGTGGGTCTTTAATCCAAGTCGTTGATGTCCAATTTTTCATCGTATCTGTGATAAGCGATCTGTGCTATAGGCTCACGGTGTCAGAGTGCTTCGGTCTCTTATTTCCATTTCGGTCTTTGGATTGAGGCATGGAAAAGCAGCAAGTGTGAATTTGAAACCCGGACGCAAAAAGGCAACACATTCCTTCCCCTGCCCCCACTGCTTCAACGATCGAGACCCAGAGTGTCATTGATGCAGTTGGGCCCCTTTTAAATTCTCTTTTATGTCTAACTGGGTGCATGATGATTTTTTTTTTTTTTTTTTGCACAAAACCTTTCTTTTGAAACTGAAAACTCATAAATTAAAACCCGATTATCCAAACGATTACTAAATATTATCTTTAATGTGAGTGTCTGATTTTTTTTTTTCCAAACTCCAGTTTTGGGTGATTGTGTTATATTTTGCCCAATCACAAGAGTTATCAAAGTTGATTTCAATTTTGTTAACTCTCACTTTCCAAATAGCTGATGTCTTGCTGTTTTGTTTTTTTGTTTGTTTTTTTTTTTTTTGGCCCATAAAAATGAACGACGACAACGAAATAGTTTGTATGTGGTCTTGGCTGAATGCATAGCAGTTGATTTACACTGTATATAATGCGATTTGAACTGTTGCTTCAAATCAAACTTGATGATTTGATGACTCTTTGTCGCAAAACAACATGACAATTCCAGAGATGAAAACTGGTGACGTGTGCGCGCATTGCAGTTCCCCCAACATTGTTTTTGTGTGTGTGCGTGCGTGTTTTTTTCAGCTGTGTGCCAGTAGTATGCACTCATTTGACAAAAGACCGAATGAATAAATCCAGTTGTGAGCAGAAACCTTTTTCAAATGTCGTTTTAAAACTGTGAAATATCAAGTTGGTTCCCAACCACAATGCCCTTCATGGGAATCGCCTAACAAGGACCATGTGTGTGATTGGCGCCTCTCTGCTTCTCAGTTTGTTCTCTCGCTGCCCTACGCCGACCTCGAAATCCAATAGTGGGTCAAAATGTATCATACTCATTTTGTTATGGATGTCGCTGATAAATTTGTGTACTTTTTTTGACCATCCAGCAGGGAGGAAGTGCAATAAGAAGTTTAAATGACACTTCTTATTTGATTTGTTACCTCAGTATTTTTTTTTTCATGTGAAGTATTTATGGCCTCAATTGTTACTTTTCCTTGTTTGTTTTGTCATGTATGTTGTAGAAGAGTCAATAAAGCAAGGTATGCTTTCAATTGTCGCTGCTTTCTTCCCGAATCCCCCCCACCCCATCCTCCCCCGCAAAAAAGTCAACTACTCTCCAGTTCCACCTTTTCCTCACCTTGTATTTTAGCAAAAACATTCTGGCGCCTCCAAAGGGCACGACCCTGAAAAGACGCAAATGAAATGACTCCTATTCCCCATCCCCATTCCTATTTGCTAGGTTGCATTTTACTGTTTGCCGTTTAACTGTCAACACTTGGAGACACCCCATCTCATCGCACCTTCTTCTTCTCATGCTATAATTTAATAGCAAACCCCCCCTGACAGGAAAATGAGTCCCATGTGTGGCAAATCTCAAATAACCGACTGGCAGTTGAGTTAAAAAGTAATGCTGCGTGTCAATGTGACCCAACTGGCTACAGCCAGGAAATGCATTTAAAAAAAAGACAGATTTGCAATGTGGAAATTCTGCGTATCCAACACGAGTATATAAAATACATCGTACCAAACCCTTAATTGCATTTTGATCAAACTATTCTCCTGTATTGCTTTGGATAATAAAGTTTTGTCTACAGTGCATGATATTGCTCTTTGACTTGGACCATTCCCTCCGAGTCATGCCTCAGTTATCTCCGTGCTGGCATAGGGAGTGTGGGCGGGTGGCAAGGCAATGACAGGGGAGATAAGTATTAGGTTTAGTTTCTTGACAGTGCGTTCGACCGACATATTTGAGACAACAGAAGAAGCTCACGCTCACACGTGCGCGAGGCAGCGCCAAGTCCTACAGTGATTGTCAACGGCGAGGAAAGGGATTGTCCGACAAAGCGATGCCCCCGTGCGTGAGGACAAAACAGCGGACATCGCGCACATCCACTTCACTTATAGACAAGTGATGTCACCGGTTCAAAAGAGGAAAACAAAACCTATTGTTAGAGGCTAAACCGCCGCATGGGTCAACAACCATTATGCCTCATGTCATCATCTCCTCCCATTACGTGCACGAAAAGCACATCCTGTGTGGTTGCGCAAACGCTCAGCCTTTTGAGCGGACAAAATCGAATGTAATGAAAGCGTAGAGCTAAATCACAGGATGGAGGGAGGAGATAGATTTCAAATTTGGAAACACTGGAAAACACAGTGTCCAGTCGAGGACAATCCCTTATGTTTAACCCTGGGAACAAGTAACGCTGCCTCCTCTTTTGAACTCAGTTCCCCCAAAAAAGTCATCTCCCAGCATCTCTTTCATTCCTTTCATTGACATTCCTGGCCAGGGACAGCACCACCATCACTTTTAACATTCTCATTATTTTCTCTGAAGGAATGAAGCATACTCACAAAATGTAGATGAAAAAGTCAGATCTTTATTTGTGGAAGGGGGTGGTTGCCTCACACTTGGCTGCCATGGAGCCACTTGAAGTGTTGAAGCATTTCACTGCAAAGATTTATTCGTCTGCCGTTGCTGTGATCTGCCTTCTCGTGGATGTCAGGTCCAAGTAGACTAAAGCGAAACAGATTGGCTTATGTCGACTCTGTAATATCAATGACATCATATGGACAATGACTTTTTGGTCCAGAGTGGGGGGGAAAAAATGTTCCAAGTAAGATGACTGAAAGATTTTATGAAAACTGTCCCATCTTTTGTTCCCCAACTTTTATCACAGGCAGGCAGTTGACAACTGCCGACAGAGGCTGCTCCACTTTTTCCTTTCCAAATATTCTGTTGTCAATGGTCAGCATTCCTGAATGGAAGGCAAACAAGCGTCCGCAAAAAGGGACGGCCTTCTGAAACCGCCACGACTGAACCAAAGACAACATACCAGGCATATAGTTTGAGGGCGGGAAAGCCACAACCATTTTGAAGCTTAGACAAACACATGAAGGACTGCGTCCATGGTGCCTGCTTTCCTAAACACGTCCAGCAGGCTATAATTCTTCTGCCCACTTAAGTTGTTTGTTTGGATTCAAAAGCCATTAAATCTGAGACATGCAAATGCTTGTTCAACTTTATACAAGAAATGTAGAGACAACATAACACATTACATGAGGGCTGTAACAAATACTGTACAGTACAAATGACAGGATAAAAAAGTGAATAAAAACAGACCACAAAAAAGTGTCAAGGCAGGTCAATTCAAATGTGCTAAGCTAGTGAGTGTTGTGCAAATTTGTAAATTCTTGTGTAAAAAGAATACTTCATCAACATGCTCAGATGATCGTGTGTTGCGTTGTGCAGTGACTAAGTCCTACAGTCGGGGAAAAAAACTCGTTCTGCAGCAACATTGGTACCTGGGCGTTTTTTTAATGTATGGAGGCATCATAATAAACATTTGTTTGACTTGTACTGCATGTATGGGGAGAAAATGCAACTATAACGTATCTGTCAAGAGCCCACTCAAAGCGATTTGGGGAATTACATTGCCGCCTGGTGGTAAGATTGTGTCACTGTCTTTATCACGTGACGTATTCTTTTTCACCCCAAAATGACGACGACGTCACAAACTATAAATGTTTAATTTAATGTAAACACTCTTCAGAGTGCAAATACCTGAACAATGTTTAGTAACGAATATTTTGTGATTATTCACATTAAAGTCCGTTTTGAAATGCGCAACTGTTTCTTCGTGCCGTGAAAACATTTACAATACTGTACCTGCACGAGATGCTCGCGCTGGCCTATGACGTCACACAACTAAAGTACAGAAGATGTCTCTGAATTAAAAACAATGGATGAGCACATACAATAACGTTACGTCAGCGGCGGTTCTCACATTTCCCAGCCTTTAACCACATCTAGTTAATTGCGTACGTTGCTAATTTTATGTCTATAATCCTTCGTTTAGCCTAAAATGCTATTACGCCAGCTATAGTGGGAGCTACTAACTAATTAGCTTCAGCCACGTGAGACAGTCCTTGGACGCCAAGGCCACGGTCGACAAAACACAGCCGAATTAAAAGCGTACGGCAGGCAATGTGAGTACATATTACTGTTGGAGTTGCATTCCACTTAAAAAAAAAGATGACCCAGAATACATAAATAATGAAAATATGTCAAAATGTCAGGATTTGGATTGTGGATTTACAGGCTTGTTAAGTGAAGGGAAATGGTGAAAATGGTGGGTATCGTAAAACTGAAATTCTGCCATAACTGTGTCGTGTGTGGGCTATTTTCTTTTTTATTTGACAACGTGCACCTGTTCGTCTTTGTCGGGTCACATTTGCGATTTCTCCGCCTGCAAAAACAAGTACAGTACCTGTAATATAGCAAAAAAAAAAAGGACTTTCCCTTTTCTCTGTCGAATGAAACCTTTTTGAAAACGTCGTTCCGAAAAATATCTAATACCTTGAGACTCATACACAATACAGTGACATTGCATAAGTCCGAATAAATCAAGAAAGAGACTTTAAGTATGAGTTGGGAGTCGTTTTTTGGCCGTGTTTTAAACTGTTAATCAAGTTCATTTTGGCTCAGTGCTAGCCAAACAAATTTCAGGAATCACGCTCGTTTGGTCTCCTCGGAGCTGTGATATTGTTTCAAAATGTAATTGTGTTGCGGGCACTTTATGAACTCTTAAATCTACATAATGGAACCTTTTCTGACTCAGCAACTGAACCCTCCCAGTAATGGTGTCAGATTTTGAAACAATTCTTTACATTTCAACATAGAAACTTGCAACTGTGGTGTTACTCAGTGACACCTGCGACAGTCGCTAGGAGACACAAGAAAACAAATGCAACATTTGTTCAGGTGAATCAGGCACACAATATAACTACAGGTGATATTGCTGACTATTTTGGAGAAACAATATGTTGAATATTGACTTTTTTTTGTCATTTGCAGTTTGGCAGCTGAATTAATGATACTGACCTTTTTGGAGACCAACTTAATGCTGGTAAGAAACCTCTTAAAATCAATTTTTCCTACATGGTTCATGGTAAAATACCGACTCCAAATGTACATCCCCAACAAATAAATTGAAGCATATTGTAATCTGCTTGAAATCAATCAATCCTTTTATGGCAGCGTGTGAACAGGTCGTGCACACAAAGCTGACGCGTTAACATTGTCAGGCTTTAACATGACCTTGCAGAAGCATGCCAAAGAAAAAGAAAGCCAACATTCCACGGAGCTTGGCATTCACCTCAGGCATGGCCCTGAATTGCATTCAGATGACACCCGATGGCAGACAGCGCCTCAATCTCAGTTTCAAAGAGTTGGACGCTGTGCCACCTAGCATCCAGAAGCTGAGTCGAGTCGACGAATTGATCCTGAGCAGAAACCTCATCATCAGCCTCCCCGACTTTATTCATGATTTCAACAACGTCCAAGTTTTGGACCTGCACAGCAACTATGTGAGTACAACGTGGACTTTATGCGCTTGATTAGCTTTACTCTTCACTCACTGCAAAAAATTATACGGTCCCAAATACATCACAAGTGACTTGTTAGTCTCAATCATCCCCGTGGGTATGGCATGTCTATCAATTACAAAGAAAATGGACAACTTTCTGTTTTTGACTGCAGCTGGAGCAGATCCCTCCGACCATCGGCCTCCTAAAGAACCTGGTCATTCTAAATTTATGCAACAACCGTCTAACGCAAGTCCCCAAGCAGCTTGGTCTGCTCCAGAACCTCCAGATGCTGTACTTGGGTCTCAACCGGCTTCAAATGCTCCCCACAGCCATCGGTAACTTGAAGGAACTCGTCTATATCGGCCTGTCAGATAACAAATTTTCTTCGGTGCCAAAGTGCCTTGCAAATCTCCAAAAGCTAGAAAAAGTTAACCTGGACAGAAATCCCTTTCCTCCGCCCCCGGACGAGAAGAAAGTTGAAATCCCAAGAAAGTTTTTCCTGGCTCATGCACGCGACCTCTGTAAAGACTGCCTTAAAAATTGCAAAATAGACAGAGATAAGATGGAGGAAAAAACACAAATGAAGGAAGCCACGGCAGGGCTTGTGCCACGAGTGGAGACGGTTATTTAAATCCAAGTTCAATAAAATTTGGATGCAAACAAATGTTCAAATACAAAC